GCTCAGGTGTTGGATAGTTCCCGGTAACATCGGTCTTTGGTGTCAGAAAGCGTGAAGGGCTGGATCGAAACAACGAATTGTCAACCAACCGCCCTGCAGGACGTGTCTGGAAGCTGCACCTGGAGCACCTTGCTACGGTCCTCTAGAGTGTTAATGACACCATCTTGGCAGGCAAGTATGAACCCTTCAGTCTCGGACATCGGGCCAGCTGACTTTAAGAAGGAAAACGTCAGCTGGGTGGATAAGCCATGATCACGCACGTGTTTGAAGAATACGCTGTGCATGGACTTGTCCATTAGTTCGCTAAGGAGTAGTTTTTCCTCGGCGTTCCTGATGACGCTCTTGAATTCCTCTTTTCGAAGTTCCATAAGAGCGTTTATTTTTCCAAGACCGAGGGTTCTTGCCGCATATATTGCTGCCTTATACAATAACGACCCTTTATGCGCATTTTCGTGTTTATGTACAATTTGCATAAGAAAGTCATTCTCGTCTGCAGTGAAATTGACAACCTCGAATGTTAAACCCAGGACCAAACGATCGTGAAGCCTCTCCAAGCTCTGCAAACCTCTCCCACCGATGGACCGGGACAGGTATAATCTGGCGACTGATGAATTGGGGTGCATGCTCCGGTTCATATTGATAACCTTACGGGTTTTTATTATTATTATTATTATTATTATTATTATTATTATTATTATTATTATTATTATTACTAGCAACCTTGCAATCACTATATGACTGTTGTGACTTGTGAAACTATAAATAAATAAAATTTTGCCTCATGAAATAATGAGTTTTCTTAAATTGCACTGTACTTCTTTAACTATTGACGTTTTTAAAGATATAAGCTCATCCCGATGTTACACCCATCAAGAGCTTTCATTTGATTACGCACATACATTTTTGATATATTTTTCATATTTACATATATATAATATATATAAATATATAAAATATATGAAAAATTGATGTGGATACTCAAATGAAAGGTCTCGATGAGTGTAACATCGGAATGAGCTTATATCTTAAAAAATGTCAATAGTTCACGAGATACAAGGTCATTTCTTAATTATTGATATTTTTTAAAATGTAAGCTCATCCCGATATTACACTCATCAAGAGCTATCATTTGAGTACCCACATGCCCTGGCATATAAAATACCCTGGCCACAAAATTTTGCTTATTCTCATAATAATATAGATTATTATTATTCTATTATTGATAATGTTGTTGATATTAATTCAGTGCTTACTTTTGCTGAATAGCTTATAATACAATTGGTAACTTTAACTACTTGTGATGGTAAATGTAACCATCTCGATAGTAAATGGTACGATCGCTCTATTTTAAGAATTATTATTTATTATTGTATTGATTATAATTTAAATTGTTATATCTATCATTTTAACTTTTATAAAATTAATTACCATCTAAGATAGTAAAATCTACAAAACAAGTATTGTTAGGGTTAACATAAAATTCTCTCCGTGTACTCATGAATTCATGGACAAGCACGTGGCGAATACTCACATTATAGATACATTTTACTCGTGAGTAGCCACGTTTATTTTCATATAATTTCAATGTTTTTTTATTTTAAGTAATTTATTATTTCCTAAAATACTGAATTTCCTAAATACTTTCTTGTACTTAAATAAAAACTAATCAGCAAAATTTAAGAGAAAAATCAAGAAAATCTACATAAAATTGAGCACGATTTTTTTTGCAATTTGTGTTGATTCTACATTAGCCGAAGGAACTTCGTTCCTACCTGGTGTCCCACGACACCACATCATTTTTTTTTTTTTTTAGTATATTGTTTATTGTTACTGCGATAATTTAGTAATTAGTCATTGATAAGTTAGTGATTAGATGATAGATTTTCGACTTGAATATTTTTAATAGTTTTTGATCATATGTTTACAAATATATAAACCAACAATGTATTGTAATATACATACAATTTTTAACTTCGCGCTATGAAAATCAAAGATTTTCAAAAAATCGGGAAGTTATTAGTTTCATCCTGGTTTCCGAATGTATGTATGTAAAACGTTTTTTTTTTTTTAATAATTTTCAAACAGATGTTATGATCAGTTCTAAAATCTAATCAGCTCTTAAACTCAAAAAACGACGTCGATTGCTGCAAACCGTATTAAAATAGGTTGATTAATGAAAAATTTCAAAAAAAGTGTTTTTTACATAACTTCGAAATTTTACGTCTAATCGTTTGGTTTTTTTTTTTTTTGAAAAATAAATTTTATTATTTCACACAAAATAATATATCAACAATTTTAACAAGTATAAAAATTAGAAAAACTAGATTGTCGAGCTCGAAGAGCTTTAAAAAGGACAAAAGCAATGTTTTTGCTAACATTTGATTAAAAAAAAAAAAAATTATTATTATTATTATTAAGTTATCATATTGACAAATACCTTCTCCTCTTCATAAAATAAATTTGAAAACAATTTCTATTCGTTTGTACTAATGATCTAATCTAATCTAATGTCGATAGTATCATCCTAAAGTATGAGTTACTTAATTTTGTAATCAACTTTAGTTAATTAATATATATTTCATACGCCTAGAAGTTTTTATCATTATCAGTATTATTTCATCATAAATCAAAATCATGAGTAAGTGTATTTTTCCACAGTAATCAATTTTAAAATTTAAAAAAGGTTTCTTCATTCTTTGCTACGTAATAGATTTTTTAATTATCTATTTCGTAGCAGAGCATTTTTTTCGAAATTCGAAAAATTTTTGAGCTTGAAGAGCTCAAAAACGTCATAAATGCAATTTTAAGCGCTCAACTCGATCAACCGTTTTCCTAATTTTTTTTTTTATTGAAATTAAACATGATCAAGAAACTTAAAATAGGAAAAAAACTTATTAATTTGTTTACAGGATATATTTGGACACCAAGTATTATTCAGTGATTTATTTTATTTTTGTACAATGTTTCGTTCTTTTCAGAACTTTATCATGTATTGTAATAGAAAAACAATAATTATCTTTAAAATTACAACATATTATTAATTAAATTGAATTTGTTCACAGGATATATTTGGACTCCACGTATTATTCAAAGATTTATTTCGTTTTTGTACAAAGTTTTGTTCTTTTCAAAATTTTATCAAGTACTGGTAATAGAAATACAATAATTAACTTTAAAATTACAACATATTATTAATTTAAAAATTTACGAAACTCATTTTAAATTTTTAAATTAATAATATGTTGTAATTTTAAAGTTAATTATTGTATTTCTATTACCAGTACTTGATAAAATTTTGAAAAGAACAAAACTTTGTACAAAAACGAAATAAATCTTTGAATAATACGTGGAGTCCAAATATATCCTGTGAACAAATTCATAAGTTTAAAATAATGTACATGAACCGGATTTATGTATTAGAAAAAAAAATCTTTTAATATTTTGTTGTTTGATGACGAACTTATTTATTCCTTAGAATTCATTTCGACATAAAATTACACAACTTTTATTTCAAATCTTACTTACTTACGCCTCCGGGTTAATTCAATGACATGATAACCCAAAGGACTAATAGCTTCCACGGTATTTAAAGAAGCTACAGCAGCACACCACCTAGATATTCTTTCAAAAAGAAGACAGACTACTAGTCAAAGAGTTTTAAACAATAAATAAATTACTAGTTCATAAATATGGAGAGTTTTAAAATAAACTTAGCGTTGATATTCTTCTTTATTGCATTTGCCAGCGCAATAAACAAACTAGATGTAAGTAAAATTTTTTTAACTACACTGAGAAAAAAAAATATTATTAATTATCATATTTCTGAATAGAAGAGCATTAATATGTATCTTTAGATGATAGATAAATAAGAGAATAGCTTTATTTAAATTAAGTAAAAATTATTTCAATCAATTTAACAAGTTCTTGAGCTAAGAATATATATTCTTGAAAATTTTCTTAATAAAAGTATTTTTTTTTTTCTCAGTGTACATTGTATTATTGCCATAAAGTTATATAAAAAATAAAAGAATAATAAATATAATTAATTAATTATAGCCTGAAGAATACAGATTTTCCTACAGATGTTTCGAAGACTCAGTGGTAGTTTCTTTTGAACAGCAATCACCCTACGAAGTTCATCTGTACACAGTATCTTCAGACAAAGACGAGTATAGATGCTCGAGAACTTTCACTCCAAATGAACCAGCGATAAAGGAATTAAACTTCAAATCCTGTTCATACGCTGCCCGACAATTCCAAGTGTATGTTGACGAACAATACGGTAGATCTTTACAGCAACATTTCTTCTCAGTTAATTGTAGAGTTCCAGAAACTCCAAGAGAACTTTCTTTTTGGGATAAATTGACCCAAATTTTTAAATCAGATAGAGAAGAATAAGTAAAACCCATCAATTATTTGTTATAAAACTTTATGAAATGTAATTATTTTCCATAATAAAAATATCATTTTATTTGAGCTCTGTTTTTTCTAATGATAAATAAGTTTATTTCTTAAGGAAATCCTTTCGCTCCAGTTGAGTCAAAACAATTGTAGTAGTCAATATACGATAAATTAAAATAAAAAAACCCATAAAAATTCCTAAAATTAAATAATAAATAGTATATGAGGCATTAATCGTTGAAACTTTGAAAAAAAAAAAAAAAAAAAATAGTTAAATACAAAAATTAATTTGACTCTTTCAAATCAACTGCTAGTAACCTGTCCGTGATTTGGCAACGCTGTACTTCGATTGTTTACATTTTCATTTGCACAATATAACCTTAAAGTAGAATTACAATTCGTGTAATATAAATAAAATTTTCTGGTAACATTACATTGCACTGTGTAATTTTACAATGAAAATTGTAAAAATAAAAAAAAGCTTTTTAAATTTTTTATGTGATTATTGTAATATAAATTACAATATTTTTTAATGATTTTACATACAATTATGCCGAATCAAATTACAAATAATGTTTGCAAAATTAAAAAGCTTTTTCTTGAAAATTGACCAACATTTCTGTAATATTACAATGCGTGTTAGGTTTATACAAGAAGATTGTAAAATTACAATACATCTTAGTAGATTTCCTGACAGGGTGTTGGAAAATTACATGAATTGTATTTTATTTAGCATTGCTATACACTGATTTGTAATTTTACAAAAATTTTTAACAGTGTGTAAATAAATAAATTAGTTTGAATTTATTGTATGGTCTGAAGCTCGCGCGATACGCAACTTTGCCAAATGTTTTGACTCCATTTTAACGTAGTTTACTTGAGAATTTTTTGTGATTTTTAATTATTAATTTCTCAATAAATATCTCGGTAACTGATCTATTTTATTGCAAAAAAAGAAACCTGAATATTTTGAAAATCTAATTTTTAGTTTTTTTTTTTTACTTCATTTAATCTATGACTGATAGTATAATTCGAGAAATACTGCAAACGTCTGACTTTCTCGTAAGATTCTGAACAAATACTAACATTTAAAAATTTTATTTTTTCAAAAATTTGTCCGGTAAAGTATAATTTAAACCTCACTATTAGATAAATAAGGACCTTAACTATTAGAAAAAAATTGAATTTACTCATAATCTAATATTTTTTATTTTACATTGGCGGCGAAAGGACCTCCTTAATACTATTTTTAAGTACTTATGATATATTATCAATCTTAAACGAAAATTGAATTACGAAATCTGAATTACTCATTCAAAACATTTATTATCATTCCTGAAAAAAATTTTCCAAGAATTCTAATTATAGTTTTCCACGCCCTTTAATTTTTCCTAGTACTATAAGCCAATCACTTTCTAAAAGAAGATAAGCGACTTTCCCTACTTCATCCATCAAGATGGTATAAAACCAAGGGATTTTCAATATCCAGATCACTTTTAATCTTCTCTTGATCGAGTAAACTTCGTTAACCAAAAAGCAACATAAATTATTACCATGGAGTGCCAAAAGACAACTTTGGCTTTGATTTTGTGTCTCTTTGCTGTCGCTGGTGTAGGAATTTTAGGAGCTCCTGCAGACGTAAGTAAATTAACATTTTTATATTTTATATTAAAATATTTATTAGCATCTATTAATATAAATAATAATTATATTTTTAATATTTATTTTTTCTAAAGACTGGTTTATAATACTTTATAGATATTTTTCTGGCGTAAGTCGTTGAGAATTTTCAGTTTATTGGCAATCCAGTCTAATACAACAATTTTTTTCTCTAATTATTCATAATATTGTTAGCCTGTATTCCCTGTATAATGAATAATGAATAATTAGAGAAAAAAAATTATTGTGTTAGACTGGATAGCCAATAAACTGAAAATTTTCAATGACTTAAGTCAGAAAAATATCTATAAAATAATTATATTATTAAGCGTGGGAAACTTTAATTGATTTATTATTTATTGCTTTTCAGTTCCAGGACGACAGATTCATCACCAAGTGCTTAAATGAGTCAGCCGTAGTTGCCTTCAAGCAATCAATTTTCCACCTTCGTATGTACACAGTTGAATCAGAACCTGGTGACTTGAATTCCAATTGTTCAAGAACTTTTACACCAATCGAACCAGCTGTAAAGGAGTTCAACTTCAAGAAATGCAACTATGGATCCAGGAAGATGAAGGTCTACGTCGATGAAATTTATCAAGGAAGAGTGTTCAACACACCGGTGGTTAAAATTGACTGCAAAACTTCTGTCGGTAAGGTTCTGGGAAGTGTGATTGGTGCTTATATTGATATATTTAGTCATTAAGCAATCGTGCTATAGATATATTTCATAGTTATTATTTTGCGACGTATTATAATTGTTGTCGCTTTTATATGAATGCTGAGTATTTTATCTGTCTGAATTGTGTTCTAGTGGAATTAATAGTTTTAATAATCAATCAAAGTGATGCCAATTGTACAAAATATCATAAATCACATTTTTTATTTTCAATAAAATTATCTTTTTATTTTTATAAAATTAAAACTGTTTTTTAATATTAATTGCCAATAGTTGTAATTATGTATTCATAGATTATAAAAGAAAATAAATAATTAACAGAATTAAAATTTGAAATACTGTACACATATTTTATCATATAAATATAAATTAAAATGTAATTACATTCACAAGAATTCTGGGAAGTATATATTAGAGTTCAATTACAGATAAGACTTAATGAAGTAATTTAGATAAACTTTTAAAATCTACTTATAGCTATCATGTGATTGAAATTTACTTAGAAATATTTTATATAGTTTTAAAGCCGATTATTAAAATTATATTCTTCAATTTCTTGATTTTATTGCCAGAATTTTATTATTTATTTATTATATTTGTTACAATGTATGGCATGATGACTGCCCTTTACATTTTTTCTTATATACTATTGGATAGTTAAACTGCTTATTTGGCTAACAATTTAATTAATTTATAAACTGCACTTTTTAATTTTAACTTTTAATGAGAAATAAAATTTATCTGCAACTATAACAATGTTAATAAACTCTCTTATGGAGTAATGAAATCACTGCACTTCGTACAACGATCGCCTGCTGACTATTGCAAACTGTGCCCCCTGCCTTGACTAGCCAGAATTTTATTATTATAACATTGAATTTATATCCGACTGATAAAAAAAAATAATGCAACCTTTTTCTGCTTATTTTTGTTAATTCAGTGTCCTTAAATTCTTATGAAGGAAATAATAAGAGGTATAATATTAATGATACTGAAATTGTTATCATTTTCTGAATATGAAGGCTAATGAGCTTCAAGCATCTAATCATACTACAGTAATTTAAAAAAAAATTTTTGTAATTACAGAAAAATTACTCTACACTAAGCTCTAAATACCTTTAAGCATTTTCAAGTATTAAATAAATTTATTCTAACATAATTTGATTTTTTGCCGAATAGTCTTTTTTGCATAAGTGCAAAAAGAAGAATACAATGAATGGACACCATAAATTATTGGTTTTCCGAACATCAGAACAATTTATATTCTTAAATATTTATACTCAACCCAGATAACCATTATAACTACCAACAACCTAGATTACCATGGACATGGACTTGTAATCGATTCTTTTCTTTTGCTTAATACTTAGCGTTGCGGTAGCTGTTTACGCCAAGTACAAGTTCACATGTTAAGCCGTGCGCAAGCACTATAAGTAGAACTAGAAATAGTTGTTCTTCAGTCGTCTATAAGCTACACTCATATCTACAGAAATGAATTTTGTTACACACTTTCATCTAAATTTTTAGTTTAAAAATTTTTAACATATATATAATTATAAAAAATAAAATCACAACGGAAAGGTTTTGAAAAATTAAATTATGTACTGGTAGTAGCTTCATCTTCTTCTTCTTATTTGTGACTTACCACAATAGTTAGAATTACCTCTATAGTAAGTCCAGTTTAATTTTTTTATTTAAAAATATTTAGTTACACAGTATTTACACTAGATTCGTTCATATTTTAAATACTTAAAAAAATTTTCATTTAAAATTATTCTACACTGAACTTTGAAAAGTTATCTTAATCCTAGGCTTGTCATCTTCTATCACCTTTTTTTTATAATTCAAATATTTCTTTAAGTAATTTGAAAGAAATTGGCTTTGTTTTTCGAAAAGTATGTATAGAACGTATGTTGATAAAAAAGTTAACTAATTATAATGATTAATTGTGAAATTTCCAAAATGATTTACATGATTTGGTATGATTAAAAAATTAGTCATTTTGTTTAATCAGGGATTGTTTCAAGAGAAAAAAATCTTTAATCAAGGTTACAATTTTGAATAAAATAATTATCTTGAGTCAAGAAGTTAACTTTTTTTATCAGTGTATTAATAATTTTTTCAAGCTCATTTGAAAGCGTAAGCTGTTGGAAAAAATTATCTTAAAAAATTTTTTGGTCATAAAAAAAAATTTGAAATTATATTAAAAATTTCAATGTTATACTCAATTAAAATATTTTTTCTAATCAAAATATTTTTCATTTTCTATAAATAATAATTTAAAGTTTTAATTTCAGGTAGGATTAAAGAAAAGAAGAAACAATTGATTATAAATGTTCAAACATGGCAAAAAATTTATATATTATTCATTTTACCGACTAACTATATTAGCCTTTTTTAATTTAGATCAAAACTGTTAAATTGAATTTTATTTTATTTTTTTTTTAACTAAAAACATTTCAATCAAATAATAACAAAATGACAAATAAAGTTATACTATTTATTTTTATTGAAATATTTACAAACTTTTGGGCTTCGGTATTTACTATGAGTATCAGTGAGTCAATCAACAAGTGCGCTGAATTAAGACAGAGAGTAAGTTATTAACCATTTATAAATACATAAAACTTTTCAAAAATAAATCAGTTATTTGTTTTTTTACTAATAATAAATTAAATATCTTCAAGTGCAATCCAAATTCTCAACAACCTTGCTGTAACCCAAACGAAGTATGCGTGAACAAACTACGGGATCAACTTGATACTTTTAACTTTATATGTCTTAAAAAAGGTATTAATTAATTAACTCATCAATTTTGGATAAAAATTGTATTTTATTTTGAAATTACAGGTGTGTTGGACAATTCTTGTAAAAGATCGCTGGACTGCGAAGCAATAATCGGAGCAAAATGCTCGGAAAATGGACACTGTGTATGCAAGAAACAAACTGCGGAGTACAATGAAACAATTTGCTTACATTATTCATCAACTAATCGTCTAATTGATGAACTTATGGATAATCACTATTATTTCAATGAAGTATATTATTTAAAAAATAATTATTCATCCAAAACTGGGTGTCAAAGAGTATCAAGTAAGTTTTATTCAGAAATATTGAAATTTTGTTTAAAAAAAAATCATTTTTTCAGACACCAATTATGGCGAATCTTGTAGTACTGATCTACAATGCTTGGAAAACAATCATAAGAATCTTAAATGCATAAATCGAGAATGTAGATGTCCTAATGGTACGCAATTTATTTTGGACTTATTGGCTTGTAAAAGTAGCTTGCGTGGTGAGTTATTTGAATTATTTTTTTTTAAAATGTCACCAATCAAAATTTTGAAAAAAGTTATGAAAATTTTATGATAAAAAAAATGAGAATTGTAGTTTTTTTTAAGTTCTACACAAAAAAAAAAAATTTCTATAGATCAAATAATTTTTCTTGGAGTAGAAAAATTTTTAAGCTAAGAAATTTTTTCTTGGTTTAAGTAAATTTTACTCAATTCAAGATAATTAAACTCTTCAAAATTATTTTCTTGCATTAGAAATTTTTTTCTTAATTCAAATTAATTTTTTTTTAGTGTAAAGTTTATTTTAGGCTGTAGAAATATTGAATTGATAATTTTTAAATTAAATTTGTAATTTTTTTTATTTATTTATTTATTTATTTAAAGTCGCGTCAACCTTTAGGATTTTCTTTGTTTCTTTAAAATTTATAGACAAATTAGAATATTTTCAGCCTTAATCGTCATACTGAAAATATTCTAATTAAAAACACACAATCGGTCGATGAAAAAATAACTCTGAAAATTTATAGACAAATTTAAAGAGCCTTTTTCTCTAAAATTTTACTTAAATTATCTAGTTTGGTATAAAAAATTTTCAAAATAGGATTATTGAACAGTTTTTATTAAAAACTTTAGTCGTAGCCTTACATAAGGCAATATCACTGCGAAAATATAATCCCAAATTGTTTTAACCAAAACTACAATATTTTTCTTCTTGGTAGGTGTTGGTAAATCATGTTTAATCAACAGAAAGTGTTTAGTTGAAAATTCATACTGTAACCGCTTTGGAATTTGTAAATGTAAAAACAATTATTATTACACTGCTGCAGATAAATGCGAACTATTACGTGAGTATAATTACATTTTGTTTCTAAGTTTATTAAATATATAATTTTTTTACGATCCATAAAAAATTTATTACATGTTTTAGAATCCAGATATAACTGCAGTAGAAGCAATGCAAATTCACTTACAGATAACAAGACTTTTTATAAACCAGCGCAAAGTAAATTTTAAACTTTCATTTAATATTTAATGAAAAATTTTTTTTAACTACTCACATAATAATTGTTTTTTGTTAACAACAGAACCAAATGATCCGTGTTTCAGTAATACGGATTGTAAGAACGTCAAATACACTTCTTGTCAATTGAAGGTCTGTAAATGTTTGAAAAATTTTTATATATCTGAAAAAACTGGAAATTGCACGCGTTATGCAAAACGTAAGATTATATCATTTATATGATACATTTGTACTTTTAAAAAAAATTTAAGTAAAATGTGGTTTTAGAACCTAACGGTCGGTGCATTGAAGAGAGAGGTTGTTGGAGAGTCGACAATTCTAATTGCAAATTGGGAAAATGTCAATGCAAGGACAATTTTCCTTTTAATCCGTCCACGAAAAAATGCGAACTGAGTAAATATTATGATGATTTTGTAGCTTTTTAATGACTTATGACTCTTATGAGTGACTGGCTAGTTTAATTTAAATAATTCATTTTAGTTTTGAGTAGAAAGTGTTCACAAAATTCAGATTGTGATGAATTGAAAAATATCATTTGTAGCAAAGGAAAATGCGTTTGCAATGTAAATTACTTTGAGAAAAATGGCACTTGTATCGTGGGTATCAATGGATTCTGTAACGAACTTGAGGAATGTTTTGTGGAACATACAATATGCGAAGATAACAAATGTCAATGTACAACAAATTTCTATGCGTCAAAAAATGAATCTTTTTGTATTCCAAAAGCTAAGTGTAAGTTAAACCATTTTTTGTCATTTATCATTCTCTGTTTAACTTGTATTGAACTGTTGGTACTGGACATTTATTTTCAGCTTTATATGATTACTGCGAAAAAGATGAGGGCTGCCAAGCATTAGCCAATGCAGTATGTATCGACAACAAGTGCAAGTGCAAATCAACATTCATTGATAAAGAAGGAAAATGTAGGCCGTTGGATTATTGCGAAACTAAAAGCGACTGTAAGAAACCAAAATATTCAATTTGCAGAAATCACAAGTGTGTTTGTTCATCAAATAAATACTTATCATCGAACAATGCCAAATGTATCAGCTACGCTAAAAGTTAGGATGGTTTAATATTACAATTTTTAAACTAGGGATTCTATACTGAGAGAAAATATTTCTTTTGAAAAAAATGAGCAATTTTTTTATAAAAAGTTAATTTTTTGAAAATTTTCAATAATTTTATTTTTTAGATGAAGAAATTAAAATTTTTATCACAGTAACTCGGCTGCCCAATTTCAAAATACAGTAACTAACATTTAAAAATTTTTTTCAATTTTTCTTATTAAAAAATAGTTTGCCCACCAAATTAATGACAAATTTGATTTATGAATAGAAAATACTCAAATATAAATATTTTTAAGAAAAAATACTTGAAATTAAGGTTTAAAAGTTATAAAAAATACAACAATACTAAAAAAAAATCAGGTATAAAAATTTTGCAGTTACTGTGTTTTAAAATTGGGCAGCCGAACTTTCTTGTTGAAAAAAAGTTTTTTAGATTTGGGGAAAAAAAATTTTGGATGGAAATTCGCAAATTGTTTTTCTAAAAACTGTTTTTTTTTTTCCAAATCGAATAAAATTTTTTTTTGACAAAAAAATTACTGTAAGAAAAATAAATATAAATATTTTTAAGAAAAAATACTTGAAATTAAGGTTTAAAAGTTATAAAAATACAACAATACTAAAAAAAAATCAGGATATAAAAATTTTGCAGTTACTGTGTTTTAAAATTGGGCAGCCGAACTTTCTTGTTGAAAAAAAGTTTTTTAGATTTGGGGAAAAAAAATTTTGGATGGAAATTCGCAAATTGTTTTTCTAAAACTGTTTTTTTTTTCCAAATCGAATAAAATTTTTTTTGACAAAAAAATTACTGTAAGAAAAATTTTGATTTTTTCCGCTAAGAAATAAAATTGTTGAAAATTTTCAATAAATTAATTTCTTATAACATAATTGCTTATTTTTTCAAAAGAAATATTTTTTCTCAGTATACAAACATTTAGAAAATTTTAAATATTAATTAAAATTAATTTATCGTACATTATTTTGTGAGTAAGATATCGGAAGCTCGTGCGAAAACGGCAAAAGATGCGAGCGTTTGAAAAACACAAAATGTAATGAAGAAAAAAAGTGTGCTTGCATTGAAGATTATTATGAGATTGACAATCAATGTAAAGGATTAATCGATGCGAAGTGTTCAGAAAATTCTGACTGTGCAGACAATAATTCCATTTGCGAATTTAATAAATGTCAATGTTTGCAAAATTTTTATTCGTCGGCGGACAAAAAAGAATGCAGAAAATATGCAAATCGTAATTGTTTTTTTATTCACTCAAAGTTTTTAATTAAAAATTAGAAAGTTTATGTTTGACTTTTTTTTTTAGATGTAAACGAACCTTGTGAAGAAAATGACGACTGCGTTAAAGTAAAAAATTCAAAATGTTCTGAACACGATAAATGCGTTTGCAAAAGAGACTATTTTGAAAAAGAAGGCGAATGTAAAGCTTTACTTGGTGTAAATTGTACAAAAGATTCAGAGTGCGGATCCAATAATGCTCGATGTGAATCTAGTAGGTGTGTTTGTTCTGCTGGGTTTTTTCCATCTCCGAATAAAGAAGAATGTATCAAATATGCAACTAGTAAATTTTTTTTTCTAATTACTTCTACTGGAGTCACTTTTATAATTTTAATTAAAAACACTTTTTCGCTTTAAATTTTAGGCTTGAATGATTATTGTGAGTCCAACAATTATTGCAAAAATATCAAGTACACATATTGCATGGACAATAAATGCGTATGCGTGTCAAACTATATTGAAATGGATGGAAAATGTAAAGGGCTTTTTGGTGAAAGTTGTTTAGAAGACACAGATTGCATTGTTAATAACTCAAAATGTGAAGAAAATATTTGCCAATGTCCTGTTGATTATTATGTATCTGAAAATAAAGACAGATGTTACCGATACGCGGAAGGTTGGTAAAATATTGATACTTTATTTGGAAAATTTGAAGATTTCATTGAAATTTTATTGCAGAACTGACTACTTTTTGTGAAAGTAATATTGGTTGTAAAAATCTAAAGTTTACAGTATGTTCCAAAAATAAGCAGTGTGTATGTTTGCCTAACTATGTAGCTATAGAAGAAATCTGTCGAGGATTAATTGGTTCCAATTGTTCTGAAGATGAAGATTGTGCAATTGACGAATCGATTTGTAAATCTGAGATTTGTCAATGCGGTGTTAGTTTTTATTTATCTAAACATAAAGATAAATGCTATCCATATGCTGGAGGTAAGTTTATTGATGGAAAATGATGATAATTCTTGACTTGTAGGGGTGTAAAATTGTTTTAATGCAATTGTAGAAATTGATAGTTTTTGTGAAAGCAGTATTGGTTGCAGAGATCTGAATTACACATTATGTTCTGAGAATAATACATGCGCATGTTTGGAAAATTATACTGTCGTTGATGGATATTGTCGTGGATTAATTGAGGCGAAATGTTTTAATGATTTGGATTGTGCTGTGGAGAATTCTGTGTGTAAAGCAGGCTTATGTCAATGTCCTACTGATTTTTATCTTTCAACGAATAAAACAAAATGCTATCCGTACGCTAGAGGTAAAGTTCTTGAATGATAATGAAAAATAACGGATAGAATGAAAATTAACTTGAAATTTATTTGTAGAACTTGGCGATTTTTGCGAAAGCAGTATCGGTTGCAGAGATCTAAAATATACAGATTGCGTTGGAAAAAACCAGTGTGATTGTTTGCCTAACTACACAGTGATAGAAGGACATTGCAAAGCTTTAATTGGTTCAAATTGTTCTGAAGATTTTGACTGCATAGTAGAGAGATCAGTTTGCAAATTGAATATTTGTCAATGTTCTGATGATGAATATCTGTCTGCTAACAGAGAGAGATGTTATCCATACGCTAAAAGTAAGTTTTGGTGTCTAAGATCGATGTCTATGGTCAATTCGGAAAGTGATAGCATGTTTCGTTTAATATTTCAGATTTAAATGATTTCTGCGAAGACAATGCTGGATGTCGTGATCTTAAGTACAGTCAATGCGTGGAAAATAACAAATGTGTCTGTTTGGATCACTACATACAAGTAGATGATTATTGTCGCGGACTGATTGAGGCAAATTGCTCGAATAATTCAGATTGCGCAGTAGATCATTCATATTGCGACGAATCTGATACTTGTCGATGTTTCGATAACTTTTATCAATCTGAGAACAGAGGAGAATGTTATTCACTGGCTCAAAGTTTGTATACGCTATAAAGTCATAAGATTTTATCAATTGATTATTTTAATGTAATTTTATTAATTTTTAGAAATCGGTGATTTTTGTGAAACTAATATAGGATGTCGAGAACTTGAATTCACTGACTGTTTCGAAAACAAGTGCGTTTGTTTGTCAAACTACACTGAAGTGGATGATCGTTGCCGAGGAGTTATAAATGCAAAGTGCTTTAAAAATTCAGACTGCGCAACAAAAAACTCTGTTTGTGAAGCCAACACTTGTCGTTGTTCCGTTGGTTTTTACCTTTCTACAGACAGAACCCAATGTCATCCGTTGGCTAAACGTAAGTATAACAACATTATCATCAAGACTCAAATTTGTAGATCATCTAAATTTATCGAGTTGATTTGCAGAAATCAATGACTTCTGCGAAACCGAATTTGGTTGTCGTGATCTCCGATTTACGAATTGTTCAACAGATAAAAAATGTGTGTGTCTACAAAATTATACTAAAATAGATGATAGTTGCCGTGGATTCATACATGAAAATTGTTTTGATGCTTCTGATTGCGCAGCGAAAAATTCTATTTGTAAGTCAAACACTTGTCAATGTCCTGATGATTTTTACCTTTCTGCCGATGAAAGAAAGTGTCATCCATTCGCAAAAGGTAAACAACTACACTACTATTTGCGAATTTTATGTCTTTTAAATTCATCATATTTGATTTTTAGAAATAAATGACTTTTGCGAAACTGATTTTGCTTGTCATGATCTGAAATTCACATCTTGCTCCGCGCTCAACAAATGTACTTGCTTGCCGACTCACATTGTCATAAACGGGCATTGCCGTGGTCTTATAAATGCAAAATGCTTCAAATACTCAGATTGCGCAACTGAAAATTCAGTCTGTGAGTCAAGTACCTGTCAATGCTCCGATGATTTTTATCTTTCCTTAGATGAGAAACGATGTTACCAATTCGCTAAGCGTAAGTGCTTTCTTGACGACTTTAAAAATTGGTTAACAATTTATAAATTATAATTTCAGATGTCAATGACTTTTGTGAGACTCATATCAGCTGTCGTAATCTTAAATTTACGTCTTGCTCTCAAAACAATAAGTGTACTTGTTTATCAACTCACTTAGAAATAAACAGGCATTGCCGAGGTGTAATGGGTTCTTCATGTTTTGAAAATGATGACTGTGCAGCAATTAACGCCATTTGTGATAAATCGAAAACTTGCCAGTGTCCTCCTGAGCTTTATCGTTCAAGAACCGAATTGGAGTGTTACCCGTTCGCCAACAGTAAATCTCAACTTCAAATTCAAATCAATAAATAAACATTGTAGATTTCATTTATTTCTAGGGTACAACGACTTCTGTGAAATTGACATAGGGTGTCGTAATCTAAAATATACTCACTGCTCTGAAGACTATCGATGTATTTGTTCACAAAACTACACCGAAATCGACGGCCGTTGTAGTGGTTTAATTAATGCTTCATGTTCTGAAGATCCTGACTGCGCAATTGCTAATTCAATTTGTAGTGAATCGAACACTTGTCAGTGCCTAAATGATTTCTACTTATCTTCAAGCAAAGAAACTTGTATTCATTACGCCGAAAGTGAGTTACTCTTTTTAATACACTGAAAGAAAAAATTTGTTTTGAAAAAAATGAGCAATATTGTAATAAGAAATTAATTCGTTAACAAATTTATTTCTTAGCTGAAGAAATCAAAATTTTTCTCACAGTAACTTTCTTATTGAAAAAAAGTTTTCTAGACTTGGGAAGAAAACAATTTTAGATAAACAAGTTGCGAATTTTCATTGAAAATTGTTTTCTTCCCAAGTCTAGAAAACTTTTTTTTGACAAGAAAGTTACTGTGAGAAAAACTTTGATTTCTTCAGCTGAGAAATAAAATTGTTAACAAATTAATTTCTTATTACAATATTGCTCATTTTTTTCAAAATAAATTTTTCTTCTAAGGCAGAAACTATTTTCAGTTTAAAAACTTTCTTAATTTTGAATTCTTCTAATTCTAGAAATTCATGATTTTTGTGAAGACGATAGCAGCTGCCGTAATGTGCCGTTTACTTATTGTTCAGTAAACAACAAATGCGCTTGCTTACCAAATTATAGTCAAATAGACGATAATTGCCGTGCTCCTATCAATGAATCTTGTTCAAATAATTCACAATGCTCAGCTGAAAATTCAATTTGTGAATCAAATATCTGCCAATGCGGTGTCGATTTTTACTTGTCTGAAAACCAAGACAAATGTCATCCTTACGCTCAACGTAATGCTTCCTATTAACCAAAATTTCAAGTTAATGATTGATTTTTAATGTTGACCTGATATTCAACATGGATTTTACCTTTCAGAACTCGAAAACTCATGTGAGACTGAGCTAGGTTGCCGGAATCTCAAATACACTTACTGCTCGGAACATGGATGTGTTTGTATAAAGAATTACATAGTAGTTAATGGACACTGTCGAGGACTCATCAGCGTGAAATGCTCCGATGACTCAGATTGCGCAGTAGGATATTCGTACTGCGATGAATCGAATACTTGTCAGTGTCCTGCTGATCATTACCTGTTGGTGGAGGAAGACAAGTGTTATCCGTATGCCAAACGTAAGTTTTTTTTTTTCCTAATGATATAGAAGTTTTCCAATGAAATTATTGATACTAAATTCAAAAATTCAGAACTTCATGATTTTTGTGAAAATGATGATAGCTGCTACAATCTCAACTTCTCAACTTGCTTTGAGAATAAATGCATTTGTCCAGCAAACTATACTGCAATAGATGGAAATTGTCGGGGATTCAACGGAGCTCAATGTTATGGAAGTTCAGATTGCGTTGCTAGGAATTCAATCTGCCAATCAAGTTTCTGCCAATGTCCTCAAGATTTTTATCTATCTGAGAGTCAAAAAGAGTGCTATCAATATGCCAAAAGTGAGATTTTACATTGATTGTAATTTAGAAATTTTTTTATAGCTGAGCCGTGTAACAAATCACTGATGTTTAAAAAATTTTCCATGCTTATACTCCTACTTAAGAAATTTCATTTGAAACGATTAAAAACAATTTAAAATGATTTGAGTTGACTAATCTATAGGTATACACTTTGCATGGATTGAATAATTTCAAATTAGATTCCTTAATCATAGATGTACTTATCAAACTATAAAAAATTAATGTATTTATCATCGCTGATCATCATTTTCATGATTATTATTGATTTTATCATCATAATTATTATTTTCGCGGATGAAATGTGATTTTCAACATAATACTTATGTTTACAGATCTTCACGATTTCTGTGAAAATGATATTGGATGCTATAATCTCAACTTCTCAATTTGCTTTGAGAATAAATGCATTTGTCCAGCAAACTATACTGTAATAGACGGAAATTGTCGGGGATTCAACGGAGCTAAATGTTATAAAAATTCAGATTGCGTTGCTGGGAATTCAATCTGCGAGTTAAGTTTCTGCCAATGTCCTCAAAATTCTTATCTATCTGAGAACCGAAAAGAGTGCTATCAATATGCCAAAAGTAAACATTTTACATTGATCATAAACAAATTTTAAGAAGTAATGATGTAAACATGCTACTTATATTTTCAGACCTTCATGATTTCTGTGAAACTGATGAGAATTGCTATGATATCAACTTCTCTTATTGTTATGAAGGAAAATGCTCATGTATAATAAACTACGTAGAGATAAATGGATCTTGTCTCGGACTGATTGACTCAAAATGTTCTGATTATTCAGAATGTGCAGCAGAAAATTCAATATGTAACCGAGAAGCATGTCAATGTTCTACCAATTTTTACCCATCTGTAAACAATGACACGTGTTATAAATATGCTGAAAGTAAATTATTTTTTATTCAAAATCATTCAAACCAATTACTTTAACTTTGACATGTTTTGATTGAAATTGCAGAATTAGGTGACGTGTGCGAAATGAATGCTGGTTGTCGGAATTTGAATTTCACATTCTGCTCTGAAGACTATCAATGTATATGTTCTGAATCCTACATTGTGGTTAATGAAAGCTGTCGTGGGCTCAACGAAGCAAAGTGTAATGAAAATTTGGATTGTGCTGCTAAGAATTCAATCTGTGATCAGTCAAGCACTTGTCAGTGTCCTATTGATAGATACTTATCTGCGGACAAGAGAAAATGTTACTCATATGCTCGACGTAAGTACATATAATTATTGAAATAACTCAAAATTCACAGGTTACATGATTGATGGTTTGTCTTGACAGAATTGAGTGACTTCTGTGAATACGATGGAGGCTGCCGTGAGTTGAACTTCACAAAGTGTTCTGAAAGTCAAAGATGTTCTTGTGCTGAAGGTTATTTAGATATAGATGGACGCTGCAAGGGACTGATAAGAGCAAATTGTTTCGAGGATTCAGATTGTGCAGTGGAGAAATCTATTTGCCACTTAGGCAATTGTCAGTGTCCAAATGATTATTACTTATCTGAGAATGGGAACAAATGTTATTTATACGCAAAACGTGAGTAATTAATTTTGGATGAAGTAAAATGAAGTATGGTTGATTGTATCTCGGGGAAATTTCAGAACTCAATACTTTTTGTGAAACCGACCTCAGCTGTCGTGACTTTAAATACTCATACTGTTCTGAGAATAACATATGCGCGTGTTTGGAAAATTATACTGTCGTTGATGGATATTGTCGTGGATTAATTGAGGCGAAATGTTTTAATGATTTGGATTGTGCTGTGGAGAATTCTGTGTGTAAAGCAGGCTTATGTCAATGTCCTACTGATTTTTATCTTTCAACGAATAAAACAAAATGCTATCCGTACGCTAGAGGTAAAGTTCTTGAATGATAATGAAAAATAACGGATAGAATGAAAATTAACTTGAAATTTATTTGTAGAACTTGGCGATTTTTGCGAAAGCAGTATCGGTTGCAGAGATCTAAAGTATACAGATTGCGTTGGAAAAAACCAGTGTGATTGTTTGCCTAACTACACAGTGATAGAAGGACATTGCAAAGCTTTAATTGGTTCAAATTGTTCTGAAGATTTTGATTGCGTAGTAGAGAGATCAGTTTGCAAATTGAATATTTGTCAATGCTCTGATGATGAATATCTGTCTGCTAACAGAGAGAGATGTTATCCATACGCTAAAAGTAAGTTTTGGTGTCTAAGATCGATGTCTATGGTCAATTCGGAAAGTGATAGCATGTTTCGTTTAATATTTCAGATTTAAATGATTTCTGCGAAGACAATGCTGGATGTCGTGATCTTAAGTACAGTCAATGCGTGGAAAATAACAAATGTGTCTGTTTGGATCACTACATACAAGTAGATGATTATTGTCGCGGACTGATTGAGGCAAATTGCTCGAATAATTCAGATTGCGCAGTAGATCATTCATATTGCGACGAATCTGATACTTGTCGATGTTTCGATAACTTTTATCAATCTGAGAACAGAGGAGAATGTTATTCACTGGCTCAAAGTTTGTATACGCTATAAAGTCATAAGATTTTATCAATTGATTATTTTAATGTAATTTTATTAATTTTTAGAAATCGGTGATTTTTGTGAAACTAATATAGGATGTCGAGAACTTGAATTCACTGACTGTTTCGAAAACAAGTGCGTTTGTTTGTCAAACTACACTGAAGTGGATGATCGTTGCCGAGGAGTTATAAATGCAAAGTGCTTTAAAGATTCAGACTGCGCAACAAAAAACTCTGTTTGTGAAGCCAACACTTGTCGTTGTTCCGTTGGTTTTTACCTTTCTACAGACAGAACCCAATGTCATCCGTTGGCTAAACGTAAGTATAACAACATTATAATCAAGACTCAAGTTTGTAAATCATCAAAATTTATCGAATTGATTCGTAGAAATCAATGACTTCTGCGAAACCGAATTTGGTTGCCGGGATCTCCGATTTACGAATTGTTCAACAGATAAAAAATGTGTGTGTCTACAAAATTATACTGAAATAGATGATAGTTGCCGTGGATTCATACATGCAAAGTGTTTTGAAGCTTCTGATTGCGCAGCGGAAAATTCTATTTGTAAGTCAAACACTTGTCAATGTCCTGATGATTTTAATCTTTCTTCCGATGAAAGAAAGTGTCATCCATTCGCAAAAGGTACATTACTACATTATTATTAAACTTGTAGTCCTGTTAACAAAATTATTCTTATTTATGTCCAAATATCATTCATACAAAATTCATTATATTCTTTTTGTAGAAATGCATGATTTCTGTGATACGGATTTAAGTTGCCGCGATCTTAGATTCACATTCTGCTCAGAAAACAATAAATGCACCTGTTTACCAAACTACACAATCGTGAATGAACATTGTCGAGGTTTAATTGGTTCAAAGTGTTTCAACGATTCAGATTGCGCATTAACTAACTCAGTTTGTCACTCGAATGCTTGTCAATGCCGTACTGGCTTCTACGCATCCGAATCTAAGAACAACTGTCATCGATATGCTAAGCGTGAGCTTGAACTTTAAATTATCTTTCTTTTCCTTTATAAAATTTTCTAATAATACAATAATAATTCGATTGGCGCTACAGAATTTGGCGCGTTTTGCGAAAATGACAACGCTTGCCGCAATATTCTTTATACCCACTGCTCTAAGGACAACAGATGTGTGTGTAACACGAGTTATGTTCTAATAGACAATCACTGCCAGGGTTTCATAGGAGCAAACTGTTCTAAAGATTCAGACTGCGCCTTTGAATACTCATTTTGCGACAAGAAAATTTGTAAATGTCGCGATGACTTTTACCTTTCCATAAACGGACAAAGATGTTATGCCTATGCTGAACGTGAATACTTACCAATTATTTTTTACGACTTTATTCGTTATAAATATTAATATCCTTCTTTTAAATTCCAAGGAATCAACGAATTCTGTGACTCTGACATGGGTTGTCGTTATTTAAACTACTCATTCTGCTCAAAAAATAACAAGTGCGTCTGCGTACCAAATTATACTCCAGTTGACGAACTTTGCCGTGGCCTAAATGGAGCTGAATGTTCCAAAGATCTTGATTGTGCATTGAATAATTCTGCATGCAAAGACAATACGTGTCAATGTCTCCCTGATTTTTATTTATCTAAAACCGAAGAAAAATGTTATCAGTATGCAAAACGTGAGTGTTCAATACAAGCTGAAAGATTTTTATAAACTTTGATATATTCTTCAATATGAAATTAAACTTCAATTATTTTCATTTCAGAATTGAATGATTTTTGCGAAACTGACGATGCGTGTCGTGATCTCAAGTTTACGCATTGCTTTGAAAATAAATGTACTTGCTTACCAAATTATGAAGCTATAAATGGACATTGTCGTGGATTGGTAGGTTCCAAATGTTCCGAGACTTCTGATTGCTTGTTGAATTTTTCAACGTGCAAATTTAATGAATGTCAGTGTTCCGATGAGTTTTATTTTTCACCAAGCTCACAAAAATGCATTTCATTTGCTAAAAGTAAGTTTTTGTAGTTTTTGTTAGAAATACTTTATCAAATCATATTTATATTAATCTATGCCATATATATTTAGTTAAAAAGCTGAGAGACGATATGGTCATTTCTAAACAGTTGATACGCCTCGCTTAGTTACCTATACATTATTATTATTTATTATTAACATCCCTTTTTGTTCTGTTTTCAGAGAGCTAACAGCTCACATTATATTCTCTTACTGATTATTATATTTTTCATACGTATTAATTGTCTAAAGAAGTATTAGATTGTTATTAAAAGATTTAGGATTAAATAACGTTTACAATAAAATTGTTTATTATTTAATAGTTAGTGTTAATTAAATAAAATATCAAGGCTAACAGTTTTTGATTGCATAATTTTTTAAAATTATGTTTTAGGTGCTTTGAAAAAAAAATACAAATTTTTTAAGAATAAATTAAGCTGAAAAAATTTATCTTTCAAATAATTCAATTACTAGTTTCTTTCCAAATGTTAAAATTTTTAAAGACAACTTAAAATATTTTGCATTAAAATTACAGACCTCAACGATTTCTGTGAAACTGACGACACTTGCCGTAACATAAAATTCTCTTATTGCAATAAGAATAAACAATGTACCTGTTTGCCAAACTACATTGGAGAAAATGACTATTGCCGTGGACTGATTGACGAAAATTGCATTAAAGATTCTGATTGTGCTGTAGAAAATTCAATTTGCAGCTCAAATGTTTGTCAGTGCTCAGTTGACCACTACCCATCAACGAACAAAGAAAATTGTTTCAAATACGCTTCAAGTAACTTATCACAACCCTTAAAAGCTAAAACTTTGATCATATCAATTAAACACCCGAGATCATTTCATTTTAGATATCGATGACTACTGCGAAGACAATGAAGGTTGTCGAAAGATAAAACACTCTTTCTGCTCGAATAACAAAAACTGTACCTGTTTTTCTCCGTACAAAGAAAATGAAGGGAAATGCCTAGGAGTTTTCAATGCTAGTTGCTACGATGATTCAGATTGTGACAGTTTTTATCAATGTTCGTCTAATCGTTGCTTATGTCGAGATGGCTTCACTTTTGATGATTACTACAAGTGCATATCGGTGAACCGATGTAAGCTTTTTTGTTTATGTATAATTTTTATTAACCGGGATTGAAAAAACGAATTAAAAAGAAATGGAAATAACAACGCTGATTAAGAAATATCATTTAAAATTATTAAAAACAGTTTGAAACTATTGAAAATAATTTAAGTTGAATTTATAAATATACACTTAGCAAGGATTGAATTATATCAAATTAGATTTCCTAATCAGAGAAAATTTTAATTCTTTTTAATATTTCTGAATTTTTTTCAACAATTTTGAATTTCGTCTTTTATAGAAAATTAACATTGTCAATCGTTCTGACTTTTATTTTTTTAATCAGAGAAATTAATAATCATTATCATTTGGAATATTTAATTATAGATTTAGGAGAGTCTTGCATCGATAATGATTATTGCCGGGGAATTGAACATTCATCCTGCGATTCAGACTTCCGATGCACTTGCGCAACGAATTATTTTAATGTTAATGGAAGTTGTCTTCATTACATGGGTACGTGTTGTTTAAAAGATTCAAATTGTGGGATAAAAAATTCAGTGTGTGAAAGATATCATTGCCAATGCAAGAAAAATTATTTTTTTCATCCTTTTTATCTCGAATGTCAAAAAAAGTGAATGAAATATTTGTTCTTTAATATTTTAAATAAAAAAAAAAAATTTTTTTTTGTATTTGTTGTTTATTTTTCTAAAAAATTACAAAATGTATTAATCATTTTCTTAATATTATGACAATGCAGTGATTGCTCTCGCATGTAATGGAAACTTTTCGCATGCGCCAATAGTATATTACACTACAAAGGCCGAATATTAAAATTCCCGCTCCGAGGCGACGCTCTCGTAGTGTAATATACTATTTTCCCCAAAGACCGCGACCAATCTTCCGTTCATTTAGAAAAATTAAAATATGCGTGATTATATTTAACGTCTTTATTACTGTTATGAGGTGAAACATCAACAACTTTGCAAACTATATTATTAGGATTACAGTGAAATTATTCAAGTACGTTGTAAATAGTGTAAGACAGCTTGATGACCTGTTAATAAAAAATTGGTGAGAAGATCAATAACATATATATGAATTTAAATAAAAAACTTACTTTTGTAAACGATTCCAAAGAGAGTATTACAAAATATCCGCTGTTTATAAGAATAGGCTTTAAAGGTTCTGCGAGTATTATCGTCATTGATTTTCTTACACTATTGCTTAAATTATACCATGTGGTATTGTAAAGCGCATTAGTAATGTCAGCAAACTGAAAATAAGTTCTTATTTTTATAAATTTCTTCTCAACAAATAAAAATTTCCAAAGAACGACTCTGATATTTGAAGGAATATTTGTAAATTTTCTCCTAGTGCAACAAAGAATGTCTATAAAGTTAGCATTGATATAATCCAGCATTGACCGACATTATTAATGATTGCTTGGAATCTAATCAAGCTACAGAATTCTAATTATAGCCACAAATTTAACACCAAAAATAAATTTTGTTGCTTGAATAATGACTGAGGTACTGATGGTCAATGCTGGATGAGTCAATGCTAGCTTTACAGACGTCAAAATAAAAATGGGAAGGTTTCTCTCAATTTGTGCAAGTAGAAAAAAATATGGGAATGGTTTTTAAAGTAAATTAAATTTTTTTTTTTGTAAAATGAATACCTCGACTGTAACTTGATCAGAAGAAATACACTGTACAAATATTTGAATGGTCATAGCTGTGAGGTAAAAGAAATCACCAGCAAAATTCATCGTCCGAGTTTCGGTATGTGATAATGTGTACGCAATACTGCATATCAACAGTGAGCTTGCTGAATACTGTACGAATATCGCAGTTGAGAATAAAGATTTAACAAACTTGACGAGACTGAAAAATTGAATAAATAATTGTGAGTGTGTATCAAAAATTTCTTTCAAGTATTAATTGCTATTTTTACAAGAAAAAACTAAAGTTATTTTTTTAATCTTTTCATCTAGCTTATCAGAAATTATTTTCTATGAGCGAAAGATCTTGAAATACAAAACCATCTTATTTAAATCAACAATTATAACGCTGAAAAAAATCTTCTTTAAAATTTACCGGATAATTGTTAGCACGACCTAATTAATTGTCGATAAGTGAGGTAATTATTAACTTTTTTTCAATAAATTTTATCATAAGTTTTATTAGATTTTCGGTCTATTTTATAAAGTCTACCACAAAATAAATGAATTTTTTCGTAAATTTTATTTCAAAAATGGTAATAAATAAATGGGCCGCATTATGTCCCACGATTACAATGAATTTAACGGTAATTTTTAAAGAAAATTTCTTTCCATGTAGAATTAAAAATAAAGATTTTTTCTTTAATAATACAATAAGTAAATTACTCAAGTATATCGTTGTGGTAATCAACCCATTCTCCAACCATTCTTCGTTCTACTTCTCTGGCATTAACGCTACCGTCGTTCTCAAGATTAATTTTCTGCAAGTTTTCCACTAGCTTGGAAAATCGATATTTAAGAATGTGTGTCTGCGCGCACAAATAGTACATCATGGAGCAAAATATTGAGTCATATGCTAAATTAACACACGCAGCGCTGCAGATTGCGTAGAGTTGGTATATTGCTGTCGGCCAATAATATTTTGGTATGGTATAATTGTAAGGGAACCATCCCTGGTAAGGCATCACATTAGGTGGGCTCATTCGAAATATATGACCCACCGAGTACCACGATACCGCGATAGTAAATAATGCTGGATAAAGTATAGTTATCTTTCTGTTTATAAATTTAAAAAATTATTATTAAATTCAAAATCATAAATACAAATAAAAAAAAAATGTTGAACTTACTTTGTAATTTTGTCAAATTTTTCATAAATTTTTTCTTCCTCGCTGTCTTCAGGCTTGAATGGCTTTTGCTGAAAACGGTTTACGAATTCCTCAATCATATTTCGGTAGTAAAGAATCGTAACTATTTTATATCGAACTGTAAATAGACAACTCAAAAGAGATAAATTGTCAATTATTATAACCACGTCGATGTTTCTTAACTCAAAATCCAAAACACCAGAAAGTAGAAATGAATGGTTGACAATTGTTACAACGGAAACGTAAAAATAGTAGAGAGCAGCTTTTATTCCTTTCCATTGTTCGGGTTTCCATACCCCGACCAGAGTTAAAATGTACAAGTTTCTCTCTAAAATAGTCATTTGATTGGTTCTTGGATAATCGTTCCTAGCGTCAGTATGTCTGCGGCGACTGTGTTTCGGACGAAAAATTTATTTGTCATATTCGCGGAGTTTTGAATAAATTATTCATAGATAATTTTGTCATTAATGTAATTTAGTTATTTGCTGTCATTATAATAATCGATATCAAAGATTGAATGAATTATTAATAAGTGGAGAGTTGAATGCGCACTAAAAGGATTGTCAGTAGTCGGACTAGACTCCAGTTGGTTACCACACACTCAAGACAATAAGACTAAGTATGAAAATTCTTTAGTGAAAACCGTTCTTGTACTAATATTAAAAAAAATTTTTTTTACTCGTAAAAATTGAATCTTTATTTCAAAATGTAAAAAATTATAAACTAAATGCATCAAAAATTATACTAAAATCTTGCTTTTAATATTTTTAAAAATTGAAAAAATTTTTTTACTAAAAAAATTTAACAAATCTGATCGAAGTGCTTAAATTGATAATATGATAACAAAAAAGAAATTTCTATGGCCAATGATTTCGTGTTGCGTTAAACCATCAGTGACGAGAACAATTTTTCCGATTTAGAGTTGCACTTGCGCAACGAATTACTTTAATGTTAATGAAAGTTTTCTTCGTTACATGGGTACGTGTTGTTTGAAAGATTTAAACTTTGGGATAAAAAATTCAGTGTGTGAAAGATATCATTGCCAATGCAAGAAAAATTATTTTTTTTATCCTTTTTATCTCGAATGTCAAAAAAAGTGAATGAATTATTTCTTCTTTAATATTTTAAATGAAAAAGCAATCTTTTTTCGTATTTTTTGTTTATTTTTCTAAAAAATTACAAAAAGTATTAATCATTTTCTTAATATTATGACAATGCAGTGATTGCTTTCGCATGTAATGGAAACTTTCCGCATGCGCCAATAGTATATTACACTACCAAGGCCGAAAATTAAAATATCTGCAAACTGAAAATAAGTTCTTATTTTTATAAATTTCTTCTCAACAAATAAAAAAAAATTTCCAAAGAACGACTCTGATATTTGAAGGAATATTTGTAAATTTTCTCCTAATGCAACATTAGTTAAAGTTAGTATTGATATAATCCGGCATTGTCCGACATTATTGATGATTGCTTGAAATCTAATCAAGCTGCAAAATTCTAATTATAGCAACAAATTCAACACCAAAAATAAATTTTGTTACTTGAATAATGACTGAGATACTGATGGTCAATGCTGGATGAATCAATGCTAGCTTTACAGACGTCAAAATAAAAATGGGAAGGTTTCTCTCAATTTGTGCAAGTAGAAAACAATATAGGAATGGTTTTTAAAGTAAATTAAATTTTTTTTTTGTAAAATGAATACCTCGACTGTAACTTGATCAGAAGAAATACACTGTGCAAATATTTGAATGGTCATAGCTGTGAGGTAAAAAAAATTATCAGCAAAATTCATCGACCGAGTTTCGGTATGTGATAATGTGTACGCAATACTGCATATCATCAGTGAGCTTGCTGCATACTGTACGAATATCGCAGTTGAGAATAAAGATTTAACAAGCTTTACGAGACTGAAAAATTGAATAAATAATAAGTATTAATTGCTATTTTACATGACAAAACTAAAGTTATTTTTTAATTTCCTCATCTAGCTTATTAAAAATTATGGAATGAAACTTGCATCTTAACGATGTTTTGTTCAATCATAATTAATTTTTATTAATTAGCAATTGAAGAAAATTTCTAGCCTTTGAGCAATCATATGTATTAATTTATTTATAAATACAGTTAAAAAAATTTTAGCCAACTTCGAAATCAAACTATAAAGAAAAGTAATTGTTTGTAATTAATTTATTATTATTATTATTATTTTTTTAATTTATTCTTGTCGTGTATAGTAGATCATTTTTTTTTCTATCAACGTTTGTGATTCGTCCCAGAAGCATCAAATGTAAAAGATAAAAACTAAAGCGTACACGTGTAAATTGATAAAAAATGTCTCATGAGACATAACTAAGTCATAAAATACAGTTATGACTTATGACTAAGCCATTAAATACGCGAATACTAGCATATTAAATTTGAGTAGATTAGTTCACTTTAATATTATATTATGATTATTAGTTCCTTTAGAATATTGATAAAGTTACGTTAAATCAAAAATTATTTCAAAATAATTTCCAAACTTACATTGGTTTTAATTAGTTACGGAAAAATGAAAATCATTATTTTTTTTGACTAGCTATTGGAGAAAATTTCTGGCCTTTGCGCAATCATATATAATAATTTATTTCTAATTACTATTAAAGAAAATTTTAATCAATTTTGAAATCAAATTATAAAGAAAAGTAATTGTTTGTAATTAATGTATTATTATAATTATTTTTTATATGTATTCTTGTAGTGTATAGCAGATAATTTTTTTTTCTTATATCGACGTTTGATATAAAGTTATTAAAAAACTATGAATAATATTAATTAAAGTTATTAGTAAAAACTTGTTTTATGTTTAAACTTAACTTTGATCAATTTACGTATGATCCGAGTGCTTAAGGCATGCTAATTTGGATTTATCAAGCTTTCTGTGTATTAATTACGATCGCCCTCAAAAATCAACAACTTTATTATATTATATACAGAAAAATTTTTTTTTAATTAATAAGTTCTATATTTTTGAATAAAAATGTTTTTTAGCTTAATATACAAGTAAAGTGTTATTCAATGAAAAAAATTTTTTCTTGAATTCAAGTTTTTTTTAAGTACTATTAATTTTTTTAATTGAGAGAAAAAGCTTTTTTAATTCAAAAACAAATTTTTGAAAGCCGTAAATATTCTTAATAAAAAGAAGGTCTTTCTATGTGCGAAAGATCTTGAAATACCAAACTATATTATTTAAATCAACAATTATTAGAATTAAAAATAAGGATCTTTTATCAATAATAATATAAATAAATAAATAAATTACTCAAGTATATCGTTGTGGTAATCAACCCATTCTCCAACCATTCTTCGTTCTACTTCTCTGGCATTAACGCTACCGTCGTTCTCAAGATTGATTTTCTGCAAGTTTTCCACTAGCTTGGAATATCGATATTTAAGAATGTGTGTCTGCGCGCACAAATAGTACATCATGGAGCAAAATATTGAGTCATATGCTAAATTAACACACGCACCACTGCAGATTGCGTAGAGTTGGTATATTGCTGTCGGCCAATAATATTTTGGTATGGTATAATTGTAAGGGAACCATCCCTGGTAAGGCATCACATTAGGTGGGCTCATTCGTAACATATGACCCACTGAGTACCACGATACCGCGACAGTAAATAATGCTGAATAAAGTATAGTTGTAATATTCTCACAAATTTGATGTATATACATTAGAAATTAACTTTCTTTGTTGCTGTAAGATGGACAGCGGTGATTTAGGTCCAACTCACTTTCCCCCTTTCCGCGCCGTGTTAGTAGCCCTGGGACGGGGTAACAGTGGTGAGTAGCATAAAATAAAAAAATTTGCTATTTTCTATCAATTTGTAATATTCTCACAAATTTGATGTATATACATTAGAAATTAACTTTTTTTTTTAAAAGTTTAAAAAATATTATTTTGTTTAAGATTTTTACCATGAAAATTTCTTCCAGGTGTTCTGTTTTCTGAGAATATAGTTCCAAAGATCAGAAAAATACAATTACAAGTTTACAAGCATGTATGGATAACACTTATTCCATGCTTGCAACGGTGGACCATCTTATGAACTCCGCCGTCCATCTTACGGCACCAAACAAATATTATTTTGATTAAGATTTTTACCATGAAAATTTCTTCCAGGTGTTCTGTTTTTTGAGAATATAGTTCCAAAGATCAGAAAAATACAATTACAAGTTTACAAGCATGTATGGATAACACTCATTCCATGCTTGCAACGGTGGATGTTATATTTGTTCAACATTAAAGTTATCAACATTTCCGGCATTAAAGTTATCTTTCTGTTTTCAAATTTAAAATTGTGTATTACTCACCTAGAGCAGGAAAGTAAGAAATGTCTCAGATCACACGCAATTGTTTGCTAAGGCGAAGCCGAGGTCGACAAACATTTGATCTGAGGCTTTCTTATTTAATGCCCAAGGTGAGTATATTATTTTTCTCCTCGATGGAAGCGGAAAGTCGCAACTTCGTTTAGCGTAGCGGGACGAAAGTTGACACTTTCCGCCCGTCGAGCAAAAAAAAAATTATTATTAAATTCAAAATCATAAATACAAATAAAAAAAAAAAATGTCTAACTTACTTTGTAAATTTGTCAAATTTTTCATAAATTTTTTCTTCCTCGCTGTCTAAAGGCTTGAATGGTTTTTGCTGAAAACGGCTTACGAATTCCTCAATCTTATTTCGGTAGTAAAGAATTGTAACTATTTTATATCGTATTGTAAATACACACGTCAAAAGAGATAAATTTGTCAATTATTACAACCACGTCGATGTTTTTTAACTCAAAATCCAAAACACCAGAAAGAAGAAATGAATGGATGACAATTATTACAACGGAAATGTAAAAATAATAGAGAGCAGCTTTTACACCTTTTCATTGTTCGGGTTTCCATACCCCGACCAATAAATTATTCACAGTTAATTTTGTCATTAATATAATTAAGAGTAATTTAGTTATTTTCTGTCATTATAATAATCGATATCAAGGAATGAATGAATTATTAATAAGTGGAGAGTTGAATGCGCGCTAAAAGGGTTGTCGGTAGTCGGACGTCAGTTGGTTACCACACTCAGGGCAATAAGACAATAAGTAAGTACGAAAAATTCTCTAGTGAAAACTCTTCTTGTACTCACTTAAAAAAAAATTTTTAACCGAAAAAATCTGATTGAAGTGCTTCAGTTGATTATTTGGTAAAAAAAAATTTTAACGGCCAATGATTTCGCGCTGCATTAAAGCAGTGACTTGATTAATTTTTCCAATTAGCTTCAGTGTACAGAAGAATAAAATATTATGTATAAATAATAAATACGAAAGCATTTGTATTTCAACTAATATAGACGTTAACGTGATGAATCATCACTGAATAATGAACAAAAAATATAAAAATTATACGGCTTATCGTAAAATTATGAGGCCGTTCCATCCGTCCCACGATTGTCTGGAATATATCGGTAATTTAAAAAAAAATTTTCTTTGTGTGATCAGTACCTATTAATCATTGAACTGTTATCATTGAAATGTAGATTTATTACTCTGTATTATTTTGGCGAAATTTTCAATCATCTCAAGTAATTCAACTTTCTTAATTACATTTTATCTTTATTCACAACTTAGACCACACTCATAATTATTGTAACTGTCAATGTTCCTTGACAATGCATCAAAGCAATAAATTAGCATAATACAATAAATAATAAAACTCGTGTTTTTTTATTTTCTTTACATCGAAATACATTTACAAAGCTTATAATTTTTCAATTTTTTATTGATTCAAGTGTAGATAGAAACGCGTTAAAATTAATGAAATCTGACCTGGGATATGGATATAGATAAATATTATTTACCAGTAAAAAAAAAAATAATTAATTAATAAGAATATTTTATTTTAAAATTCAGCTCTTTTTTTTATAAATATTAAGATTAATTAAAAAAAAAAATAAAAACTTAGTAATAAATGCTTAAAGTTTATAAACAGAAAATTTAATAGTATTTATAACATGAAAAGAGAAATTCTTAAAGAAATCCAAAGTATATTTCTATTTACGATCATTTTTATCTTCGATAAAAATTGATAGAATCATACCATTACTCGTCAATACCTTTTAGTTTGAAAATTTACATCGTACTCAATTTTTTTTTTATTATCAAATGTTATATTGTAATCCAAAAAGCTTATTCTCACTACATTTTTTTTTTTATAAAAAAAAATGACACTTCTCTTCAGGATTCATCGGAGATCCTAACGGACAATTAAAATCCTTCGCGAAGTAATCGTTGTTTGAAAGTAATCCTAAAAGACGGAAATCTAACGACGTATGGTTGGTTTTTAAATATGCATAGCCGTCTATTTCTTCTGGTACGCACCATTTGTTTGCGAGCGACAACCAAAATAACTGATTTTGAGTGTAATTCAATTTGGAGTATGTTGAGCTATCTCCGTATTTTTGTACCCAATTTTTATAAGCTAAGTAAGCTATTGTTAAGCCAATATTATCTGCAATATTTTCTTGAAGGTATGATAAAACCTGCAAAAGAGTAAGGAATGATTATTGTGATTCACAGCGAAAATATATGGATAATTAATCTTACCATATCCTCCTTAGAGTTCTTAGTATTATTGAGATGTTGGTCAATTAGACACCGTTTTACGTGTTTATAGTTATTATTAGAACGCAAGCTCCACCCATTTACAATATTTCCTTCCTTATCGAAAACGTCGTGGATATTTTCAATAGTATGAGCTAACTCGTGACTAATAGTAAATCCTATTATGCTATACTTCGTAAAATTTGGACGATCGATGTCAAAAAACAAGTTCCTCATTGCTTCACTATCTATAACTTTAATTTTTTAAAAAATAAGTTTTCATGATCGAATTTTAAATTATAAAAGTTAAGGAGGTTTGATTCTAATATTCATATTATTATCATATTTTGTCCGAAAAAATGTTTATTCATCATAAATTTGAATGTTAATTTTATTTTTAAATTCATATTTTGCCTTGAAAAGTTGTTATCATCAAAAGAGAAATATATAAACTTTCTTCGTTAAAGAAATTAAAATTTTTCTCACATTAACGTTCTTGTTGAAAAACATTTTTCTAAATTTAAGAAAAAACTATTTGAGATGATAAATCGCAAGTTGTTTATCTAAACTTTTTTTTTTTTCAAATCAAAAAACTTTTCTTCGACAAGAAAGTTACTGTAAGAAAAATTTTTATTTTTCAGCTAAGAAATAAATAGTATATTACACACCGAGGGAAGTAAAGTAAGAAATGTCTCAGATCACATGTAATGTCTCAACAAACATGTGATCTGAGGCTTTCTTATTTACTTCCCGAGGAGTGTATGCTATTTTTTTGCTTGACGACGGCAGAAAGTGGCAATTTCGTTTAGCGCAGCGGGCTGAAATTTGACGCTTTCTGCCCGTCGAGCAAAAAATTGTTTTAAATATTCAACAAATTAATTTCTTTGTCACAACAATGCTTATTATTCATGAAAGAGATTTTTTTCTCTCAGTGTGAATTAAAAATTTAATTTTTCTTAAAAATTTTTTTGAAAAACTAAATTAATTATTCATTCGCAGATAAATCAATTTTTTTCATTATTTTCAGATTAAAAAATGCACTCCTCTAAAAATTCATAAAAAATGATTGAATTCAAGTATCGTAATAATATTTTTTTTAATTGCACTATTTGATATAATCCTTCATTAAAAAGTTGAAGTGACGTTTTGATTGTTGTCGCTTTTCGTTACCATGGTGATCACTTTGGCAACGGTTACCATGCCAACGGTTGAGTATTAATGGATAAAATTTGAAAAAATATTGATTTATTAAATTGTCGATAATAAACATTTTGACAGAAGCGCTCGATTTTTTAGTTTTTAAGAAAAAAAATTTCAAGTTGATTTTAAACAAAATTTTGATAAAAATTCAATTTTAAATATCAAAACTTTTTAAATTTAAATCTGCTTAAGTATGAACAAATTAAAAAAAAAAAAAAAAAAACGAAAATGTTATTTGTTTGATTGTTTTACATCCCAACATAAAATTGAAATGAAATATATGTGAAGCCAATTTATTTTTAGTGTGATTGGTCAAATGTATCATAAGCATGAAAATATATATAATCATTATCAAACCTCCTCGTAAAAAGAAGTTTAAAAATATGTACTAACAAACTGTATGAGTGATGTCATCATAGAACGCATTATTGATATATTTAAATGGGTTTATCCTTCTGAAAACGCTTGTTGGATCAATCATGTTTTTTGAAGTAAAAACATGATCTATAAGTTTTTGGTGGTTAAAAGCATTTATCGCCAGCAAATTTTTTAAAAAAATAAATTCGTCAATTACAAGATTATCAAAGTATGCACTCAATCTTTCATTATTGCGCATCGTCTCGGTCAAACCCAAAACAAACTTGGTAGAATCTAAATTCAACACCAACTTATTTTTGGTCGTTTCATCTAACCATTCGTGATTATTCAAGACGACGGCAAAATTTTTTTTTATATCAATAATAATATTCTCAATATTACTTAGAAAACGAGCATCAATTGGATAATGTCGTTCGTAATAAGACAGCGCCAACTCGGGTAATAAATTAACCAGGAAGTTGATGCAATCATAACCGCTTATTGTTTGTGACGGAGATCTTATTCTGTAATAGGATTCCTGCAAACTGAATAATCTTGAAGATTCGGTGAATGAAATTAAACGTTTGATAGTCTTCCATACTGCGTAGTTAGCTTGTACTCTTTTGCTTGTCAATTGAATCAATTGATTAAAATTTTTTATGTAGTTAGAATTTTGGACTAATATTTTCCAATCTTCCTTGATTGAATATTCTGAGCCTAGGAATGATCGAAACAATTTAATCCAATCGATATTTGGCCACTCTTCGTTCATTTCTTTGATTGTCATTTCGGTAATTGATGATTCGGTATTTCCACTGGTCCCAAAGATTAGATCTAATTCAAACGCCAATGCATCTGTGATGTCAATGTTTGAAATATTTGAATCAATTCTCAAAAATTCAGCGACGTTTAGCATGTAATTGAAATAAGCTCTCACTTTTTCTGATTTTTGGTTTTCAACTAAATGTTTATTTGAAAACTCTAACCCTGGAGGACTTATCTGTAAATAAAAAGTTTCTATTGCTTAATAATCATTCAAACTTTTTTGGAGCTTAAAAATCATTAACTTCAATAGGAGTCTGGCTTTTTTCAAAAAAATTTTCTTGCGTAAAAAAATTAGGCTTTGATAATTTTACAATTTAAAATTTACGATGTTACACAGTAAAAATTCCATTAAAAGTGGTAGATATCAGAATTTTTACGGTGTGACACCGTAAATTTTGAAATTTAAAATCAAAATTTTTCTCATAACATTCTTGTTAAAAAAATTTTTTCTAGATTTGGGAATAAATAATTTTGCATAAAAATTTGCAAGTCGATCGAAAATTATTTTTTTCCAAATCAAAAAACTTTTTTTCAACAAGAAAATTGCTGTGAAAAAAATTTTTATTTCTTTAGCTAAGAAATAAGATTGTTAAAAATTGTCAACAAACTAATTTCTTATTCCAATATTGCTAATTTTATTCAAAAGACATTTTTTCTCAGTGATAAAGATTGAAAAATTATAAGTAAGTTTCTCTCAATTAATATTCACTTGAACATATCAAAAATCAACAAAATAAAAAAAGTAACCATATAGACATTATACAATATATTTCAGATACAATAAAAATAGTAAATATCAAAATTTTTACGATGCGATACCGTAAATTTAAAAATGTAAAATTATCAAAGTCACCGTATTGAAAGTCGGTAAATTTGTCGTGTATTTTCTCCTACAAATTTCGGTTTTAGCTTATTTAAATTCCAATCAAAAAATTAATTGATACTTACTGACAACATAGCGGTGTGATTAAACATTTGAACTGACGGTTTAAGAAAAAAATATCCCTCAGTACCGATAATCCGTGAAATTTCAGTAAACTCAAGCCAGTTGAATTTCGTATCATTCCATTTGTCACCTTCGAGTATAGGCCATCCGCCTAACTTAGTAATAACTTCTGTCATAAAATTTAAACTTCTGTTTCTGTTTACGTCCGCTGAATCGACTAAATAAAAAAAATAATGTATTAAGAATTGTCGATGATTAAGCTAATGACAAACCATTTATTAAATTCATAATTACTCTTAGCATCAATATTAACTTCCAATCGCTTACAAGAGTTGATAAACTTTTTTAAACGATTGAACGGCTCTAACGAATATAAATAATCATCATTTAGTAACATTTGTTTTATTTTATTTTCTCGGTCTCTCATTGGCTTGAAAAAGTCATTATGGTCACTGTACTGAGTATTAGCAGAAGCGTTATTAAAGTTACCACAAGAAAATTGGTAAAAATTTTCACATGGATTAACACTTGTGTTCAGATTTCTCAGTATTGTTAGTTCTGGAATTACAATGATAAAAAATCAATTAATTTCATTGTTAATAGATAATAATAGAGAACATTCGTGTATTCATTTTACCTAGCTTATCATTTTTCGCTTGACTTTCAGTGGACGTACGATCGTTATTGGCTTCAATAGGTGATAGCAATGCTATCGTACTTACAATTGTAATTGTTATCATAGATGAAATCATCCTGTAATTAAGCTCATTAGTATCGCTCGTTGATAATTTTATAAGTCAATCTCACAACTACGATTGATTTTTATCACTTTTAATTTTAAAAGTGTAGCATAAAAATCTGTTATCATTACATACATTTTTATCATTGTTAAAATAGTTAATGTCTTTATTTTTTTACGGATTTATATATGTATAAAAAAATCGTCATTGCTGTAATAAAAAATTAATTTGTTGAAAATTTTCAACAATTTTATTTCTTAATTGACAAAATCAAAATTTTTTTCATAGTAATTTTCTTGACGAAAAAAAATTTTCTAGATTTAGGAAAAAATAAATTTGGATGAAAATACGGAAGTTACTTATCTAAAATTTGATTTTTCCAAATCAAAAAAAAATTTTTAACAATAAAATTTTGATTTCGTCAGCTAAAAATTAAAATTATTTAAAATTTTCAAGAAATTAATTTCTCACCCTAACAATGCCCATTTTTTTCAAAGGAAATTTTTTCTCTTATTTATAAGGACTGAAACGTTATTAATAAATTACAAATAAGTTTCTCTCAATTAATATTTACCTAAACATATCAAAAGTCAGCCAAATTGAAAAAAGTAACCATAATATATTATACTAGCAGTTCGCACGGGTATTTAACAAAAATTTTCAAATTATTTATAATATAAGATAGCCTATGTCACCCGGGGGTAGTGTAGCTTTCCAACAGTGAAAGAATTTTTCAAATCGGTTCAGTAGTTTCGGAGTTTATTCAATGCAAACAAACAAACAATCAAATCTTTCCTCTTTATAATATTAGTATAGA